AGACAATGGCTAGAATGGAGAAATCAATTAATGGCAACATAGAGTCTCTAAGGGCAGAAATAAAAGGGGAATTGGCAGAACTTAAAAATGCTATCAATGAGATCCAATCCAATCTAGATAATCTAACAGCTAGGTTAACTGAGACAGAAGAGAGAATAAGCGATCTGGAAGACAGTATAATAGATAAAAAGGGAAAAGAGGAGGCCAGGGAAAAACAACTCAGAATCCATGAAAATAGAATCAGAGAAATAAGTGACACCATGTCAGAATTCCATGTCCAATGTTCCAATGTCAGAATCATTGGAATCCCGGAGGGAGTGGAGAGAGAGAGAGGGCTAGAAGATGTATTTGAGCAAATTGTAGCTGAGAACTTCCCTAATCTGGGGAATGAAACAAACATTCGAGTCCTAGAGGCAGAGAGGACCCCTCCTAAGATCAAGGAAAACAGGCCCACACCCCGGCATGTAATAGTAAAACCTGCAAATCTTAGAACCAAGGAAACCATCTTAAGGGCAGTTAGGGGGAAGAGATTCCTTACGTACAGAGGGAGGAACATCAGAATAACGTCAGACCTATCCACAGAGACCTGGCAAGCCAGAAAGGCCTGGCAAGACATATTCAGGGTACTAAATGAGAAGAACATGCAGCCAAGAATACTTTATCCAGCAAGGCTGTCATTTAGAATGGATGGAGAGATGCAGAGCTTCCATGACTGGCAAAAGTTGAAAGAATATGTGACCACTAAGTCGGCCCTGCAAGAAATATTAAGGGGGGTTCTATAAAAGGAGAAAGACCCCAAGAGTGATCTACAACAGAAAGTTACAGGGACAATCTATAAAAACAACGTCTTCACAGGCAACATGATGACAATTAATTCATATCTTTCAATAGTCACTCTCAACGTGAATGGCCTAAACACTCCCATAAAACGGCACAGGGTTGCAGATTGGATAAAAAGACAGGACCCATCCATATGCTGTCTACAAGAGACTCGCTTTGAACCTAACGATACATCCAGACTGAAAGTGAAGGGATGGAGATCTATCTTCCATGCCAGCGGACCTCAAAAGAAAGCTGGGGTAGCAATTCTTCTATCAGACAAATTAGATTTTAAACTAAACTCTGTATTAAGAGACACAGAAGGACACTATATCATTCTTAAAGGGTCTATCCAACAGGAAGATCTAACAATTGTAAATATCTATGCCCCCAACATGGGAGCAGCCATCTACATAAGCCAACTGTTAACCAAAATAAAGAGTCATATTGATAACAATACGTTAATTGTAGGAGACCTCAGTACTCCACTCTCAGCAATGGACAGATCATCTAAGCAGAAAATCAACAAGGAAACAAGAGCTTTGAATGATACATTGGACCAGATGGACCTCATAGATATTTACAGAACATTCCACCCTAAAACAACAGAATACTCACTCTTCTCGAGTGCACATGGAACTTTCTCCAGAATAGACCATATACTGGGTCACAAATCAGGTCTCAACTGATACCAAAAGATTGAGATTATTCCCTGCATATTCTCAGACCACAATGCTCTAAAACTGGAACTCAATCACAAGAAAAAATTTGGCAGAAATTCAAACACTTGGAAGCTAAAGACCACTCTGCTCAAGAATGTTTGGGTCAACCAAGAAATCAAAGAAGAACTTAAACAATTCATGGAAACCAATGAGAACGAAAACACATTGGTCCAAAACCTATGGGATACTGCAAAGGCGGTCCTAAGGGGGAAATACATAGTCATCCAAGCCTCACTCAAAAGAATAGAAAAATCCTGAATTCACCAACTAACTCTACACCTTAAAGAACTAGAGAAAAAGCAACAAACGATGCCTAAGCCAGGCATTAGAAGAGAAATAATTAAAATTAGAGCAGAAATCAATGAATTAGAAACCAGAAACACAGTAGATCAGATCAATGAAACTAGAAGTTGGTTCTTTGAAAGAATTAATAAGATTGACAAACCACTGGCCAGACTTATCCAAAAGAGAGAAAGGACCCAAATTAATAAAATTATGAATGAAAGGGGAGAGATCACGACCAACACCAAGGAAATAGAAACAATTATTAGAAATTATTATCAACAACTATATGCCAATAAACTGAGCAATCTGGATGAAATGGAGGCCTTCCTGGAAACCTATAAGCTGCCAAGACTGAAACAGGAAGAAATTGACAACCTGAATAGGCCAATAACCAGTAACGAGATTGAAGCAGTGATCAAAAACCTCCCAAAAAACAAGAGTCCAGGGCCTGATGGATTCCCTGGAGAATTCTACCAAACATTCAAAGAAGAAATAATACTTATTCTACTGAAGCTGTTTCAAAAAATAGAAACAGAAGAAAAACTTCCAAACTCATTCTATGAGGCCAGCATTACCTTAATCCCCAAACCAGGCAAAGACCCCATCAAAAAGGAGAATTTCAGACTGATATCCCTGATGAATATGGATTCCAAAATCCTCAACAAAATCCTAGCTAATAGGATCCAACAATACATTAAAAGGATCATCCACCACGACCAAGTGGGATTTATCCCCGGGATGCAAGGGTGGTTCAACATTTGCAAATCAATCAATGTGATAGAGGGAGAAGAACCATATGGTCCTCTCAATTGATGCAGAAAAAGCATTTGACAAAATACAACATCCTTTCCTGATTAAAACTCTCCAGAGTATAGGGATAGAGGGAACATTCCTCAAGCTCATAAAATCCATCTATGAAAAACCCACAGCGAATATCATCCTCAATGGGGAAAAGCTGAGAGCCTTTCCCTTAAGATCAGGAACACGTCAAGGGTACCCACTCTCACCACTGTTGTTCAACATAGTACTAGAAGTCCTAGCAACAGCAATCAGACAACAAAAAGAAATACAAGGTATTCAAATTGGCAAAGAAGAAGTCAAACTCTCTCTTTTCGCAGACGACATGATACTTTATGTGGAAAACCCAAAAGACTCCACCCCCAAATTACTAGAACTCATCCAGCAATTCAGTAATGTGACAGGATACAAAATCAATGCACAGAAATCAGTTGCTTTCTTATACACTAACAACACAACTGTAGAAAGAGAAATTAAAGAAACGATTCCATTTACAATAGCACCAAAAACCATAAGATACCTCGGAATAAACCTAACCAAAGAGGTAAAGGATCTATACTCTAGGAACTACAAAGCACTCATGAAAGAAATTGAAGAAGACACAAAAAGATGGAAAAATATTCCATGCTCATGGATCAGAAGAATAAACATTGTTAAAATGTCTATGCTACCCAGAGCAATCTATACCTTCAATGCCATCCCGATCAAAATTCCAATGACATTTTTCGGAGTGCTGGAACAAACAATCCTAAAATTCCTAAAATGGAATCAGAAAAGACCCCGAATCGCCAAGGAGATGTTGAAAAAGAAAAACAAAGCTGGGGGCATCACGTTGCCCGATTTCAAACTATATTACAAAGCAGTGATCACCAAGACAGCATGGTACTGGCACAAAAACAGACATACAGACCAATGGAACAGAATAGAGAACCCAGATATGGACCCTCAACTCTATGGTCAAATAATCTTTGACAAAGCAGGAAAAAATATGCAATGGAAAAAAGAGAGTCTCTTCAATAAATGGTGCTGGGAAAATTGGACAGCCACATGCAGAAGAATGAAACTCGACCATTCTCTAACACCACTCACAAAGATAAACTCAAAGTGGATGAAAGACCTCAATGTGAGACAGGAATCCATCAAAATCCTAGAGGAGAACATAGGCAGTAACCTCTTTGACATCGGCCACAGCAACTTCTTTCAAGATACATCTCCAAAAGCTAGTGAAACAAAAGCAAAAATGAACTTTTGGGACTTCATCAAGATAAAAAGCTCTGCACAGCAAAGGAAACAGTCAACAAAACAAAGAGGCAACCCACAGAATGGGAGAAGATATTTGCAAATGACACTACAGATAAAGGGCTGGTATCCAAGATCTATAAAGAACTTCTCAAACTCAACACCCAAAAAACAAATAATCAAGTCAAAAAGTGGGCAGAAGAGATGAACAGACACTTCTCTGAAGAAGACATACAAATGGCTAATAGACACATGAAAAAATGTTCATCATCATTAGCCATCAGGGAAATCCAAATCAAAACCACACTGAGATACCACCTTACACCAGTTAGAATGGCATAAATGGACAGGGAAAGAAACAACAAATGTTGGAGAGGTTGTGGAGAAAGGGGAACCCTCTTACACTGTTGGTGGGAATGCAAGTTGGTACAGCCACTTTGGAAAGCAGTGTGGCGATTCCTCAGAAATTTAAAAATAGAGCTACCCTATGACCCAGCAATTGCACTCCTGGGTATTTACCCCAAAGACACATATGTAGTGAAAAGAAGGGCCATATGCACCCCAATGTTCATAGCAGCAATGTCCACAATAGCCAAACTGTGGAAAGAGCCAAGATGCCCTTCAACAGATGAATGGATAAAGAAGATGTGGTCCATATAGACAATGGAATATTACTCAGCCATCAGAAAAGATGAATACCCAATTTTTACATCAACATGGATGGGACTGGAGGAGATTATGCTAAGTGAAATAAGTCAAGCAGAGAAAGTCAATTATCATATGGTTTCACTTATTTGTGGAACATAAGGAATAACATGGAGGACATTAAGAGAAGGAAGGGAAAAATGGGCGGGGGGAATTGGAGGGAGAGATGAACCATGAGAGACTATGGACCTGAGAAACAAACAGGGTTTTAGAGAGGAGGGGGGAGGGGGGATTGGTTAGCCCGGTGATGGGTATTAAGGAGGGCACCTACGGCATGAAGCACTGGGTGTTATACGAAAACAATGGATCGTGGATCACTACATCAAAAACTAATGATGTACTGTATGCTGACTAACATAACATAATAAAATTAAAAAAAAAAAAAAAAGAATATGAACACTTGAGTTTCTTTTTCTCTTGACAATCACTTACCTTGTCCGTGAACCCTATAATCTTGAAACAATGCTGAATTGCTTCAAATTGTCTTCTGTAAGACTCCTTGGAAGTTATGTCGTGTATCACCCTTCCAGTTTCATCAGCTATATACCTAAATGGAGTATGACCAAATACAATGAGCATTGACTTGGCAAATAGCACCCCGAATACCAGGGCATCACTGGGCTCCTTCTTCGCCAGGGCATTTCCCTTTCAGTCTAATAGCGAAGTGGAATAAGGTGCACATGGTGGAGTAAAATGGCTGCAGTTAAGTTTCTGAACTTTCTTGAAAATGAAAATGGTGAGATGTAGTTCCTGCCATCTCATCCTGGGTATTTCAACTTAAGAGACTATCAGTGTCCAGTTAGGAAAAACAGTTCCATTTATTTCTAAGTTTTCTCAATTGCTAGTTACACATTCATTAAAAATCAACAACTAAAACCCCTTATACTTACCTAGGAGGCTTTTCTTCAGGAAGTCTGAACTCAGAAAGTTTCTTCTGGTGATAAAGACCAGCATAAATGTAGTAAAATATATGAAAATTTTTCTCTCCCCTGAAAAAAGGGGGGAGGGGATGTTATTAATAACATATTCTGCTCCCCTGCTTCAAGTAATTTACACCATTTCCTTTCTATGAAAAATATTATCCTGTAGCAAATTTGTATTTTGAAATATGCAAATTAAATAGGCCACATCCCAATTATAGAATAGGAATAGTGATAGGATTAGTATAGTAATTGTCACAGTCTCACATTATGAAACACACTTATCTTTACGCAGAAAGAGGTTTTAGAGAATGGAACATTCATACGTAACAGCTCAGGTTACACATGTTTAGAGATCTTTCTAGTACAGCCCAAATGACTATGCATCTGTGCCACTTGCTTTCTGTTTGTAGTCCACGTTGCTTAAGAGACAGTGATATCCAGCTTAGCGAGATATCAGCCAATCTCCCTATTTTACTGGAGCCCCAGACAGGAAGTGGCTCTCCAGTCCAGTGGCAAGTTAGGGAGCAGAACTGGTCCCAGAACCGAGGTCTCCACTCTTTCAAACTTGTATTCTTTCAAAGCGGCATGCACCAGTCCCCTGGTCTCCTGTCCTCCACCCTCTTTTAGGCCATTGTGGCCAAGGTCCTTTCAGATATGTGCTACTCTAAGTGTGGTCTGTGGACTGCTGTCAGCACACATGTCTAGACATTTTATTTATTTATTTTTATTTATTTATTTTTTAAAGATTTTATTTATTTATTTGAGAGAGAGAGAATGAGAGACAGAGAGCATGAGAGGGAGGAGGGTCAGAGGGAGAAGCAGACTCCCCGCCGAGCAGGGAGCCCGATGCGGGACTCGATCCCGGGACTCCAGGATCATGACCTGAGCCGAAGGCAGTCGCTCAACCAACTGAGCCACCCAGGCGCCCATGTCTAGACATTTTACAGCAAGTGACATTGCCATGACATCCAAGGATACAATAATTCTTTGGATAATTCATTTTCATTATGTTTTACAAGGTATTAGCTCACAACTGATTGAGAATTTTTTTCACTGGACCTTCAGCATAGACAGTTTGAAAAGCCCTGCTCTGGATCCCTTTCCTTCCTCTGGAGGAGGACTGTCTCTTCTGTTGATACCCCTAGGATTTGGCAAATCCTCACCTTGGCCAACTTAACTCTATGGAAAGAAATCTTCTTTCTACTCCTTGTTCCCTTCTGTAACATTGGCCCCACTTTTTTCTTCAGTTTCTCCTGGGTATCCTGGTCTTCCTTTGGTCATTTATCCTGTCATAGCTCTTCTGGTGTATTCTTATTCCTGCCCTGTATTCTAGATGCCTCTGTTTGCCATTTCTCACTCATTTGTTCCCTCAACTAATAAGTTTACCAAGTGCCAGTCATGGTGGGCATGGCACCATGGTGCCAGGGATACAAGACTATGAGATTTCATGTCTTCTGGAGCTTTCCTTCTAGTGATGGAGTTAGAGGGAACAAGGAAACCTGTGATGAGGGCTTTGAAACAAACAAAAGGCTGAGATGAAGAATAATGTGGGGGGATGAGGGCTAATTGTATCAAGTCAGGAGAAATAACACTTAAGCCAAACACTGAAACATGAGAAGGGGTTAGGAAGAGCTCCAGAAAGAAGGGGAAAAAGCATTCCAAAGACAGGGAGCAACATATACACAAGGGCTCTGAGCATGATACCCGCATAGAACCAAAAAAAAAAAGAAAGAAACTGCTAGTGAGAAGGGGGTGGGCAGGGCCAGCCCACACCAAGCCTTGTTAGGCCATAATCAGAACTTTGTTGATTAGGCAATTAGAATTCTTTGAAGCAGTTTAAACTGGAGCCAAGGTGCACTGTAAGTGTATGACATGAGTAGATCCATGTTGAAAAAAGTACATTCTAGCTGCAGGATGAAGACTAGACTGTAAGAAGCCAAGACGGATACAGGGAGACCAATCAGGAGGTCCAGGTGAGACAGCAAGTGACTTGGATAGGTAGTGATGACAGTGATGATGGAGAAGAAGGGTAAGCTTAAAGATTTATTTGGAGGAACAACTGAAAGAAAACATCCTGAGAGAATGAATGAAGGTGGTGAGGGAAAGGGATATGGAGTCTGCCTCCTAGGTATCTAACTTGAGCATCTAGGGATGATGGCACTATTCAGGGAGATGGTAAAGACCTTTTACAGCTTTATTAATCAGTATGCTTGGTACAAATATCACTAATTTTTAAAACTCTGATAAATGTGCAGGCTTCAGCTGACCCATCTTGGTCTTGCCTTCTTATAGTTTTTTTGCAGATATTTCTAGTTCTCAATTCTTCTGAATATTGCCTACCAATATGCACCCCTAACATAAATTCAGTTTAGTTTTCATCCCTGTATCTATCAGGTTTGGCTAGGTTTTGTTGCAATAACAAACATCCCAAAGATCTTAGTGGCTTAACTCAACAGAAGGTTACTTCTTGCTCAGAGTACATGTTCACTGAGGGCCAGCAAAGGGAAGGGAGTGTGCTCATCATAGTCACTCATAGGCCCAGGGTGATGCAGTAGCCACCATCCTGCACTTTGCCAGAGGGTCTTGCCATTAAATGCTCATTTGCCAGGACTGGTCATATGACCACATCCAACCCCAGGGTACCTAAAAGGGAAATCCTACATGTGCCTGGAAAGGAGCAGGCAAGAAAGGTTAGGTGAACAGGACCAGCACAAGCCCCATTTTCTCCCCTCACCCAATATCTTCAGTCTATTTTACCTCATCACTGCTATCATATTGAATAGCAGTTTAATAATCATAATGTTATATTAGATACCTATTATGTTTCAGATTCTATGTTTGGTATAAATCACATATCTCATTCGATTCTCATAACAGCCTTGTATAGGTGACTTTATTATGCCCTTTTTGCATATAAGGAAAATAAGGTATGAGGATATTACATTAAGTGACATATACAATAAGGGACATAACTGTGATTGGAACCCTCTTCATATTATCTTTGTAAAAGACATTTGTACACAGAAAACCATATTTTCCATTCTGTCAGAGGTAGCACCATAAACTTTAAAATCACCCTAATTTGGGGAGAAAGAAGCAAGGGACCTCATAAAAATTAATCAAGAAGCCACAGGGAAGCTAAAATAACTCACTCTGTCTTTTTGTTCATTTGTTTAATTTGCATACCAGTCCCTATTTTGTGAGGAAACTGCAGAGGAGGACGCTTGAGTTCTGACCCCAGAATAGGTGCTGTGGATTCTCCTTGAACAGTAGCTCTCGATTCATCCACTTCTCTCCACCTCTCTCTCCACTGCTATGCTCTTAGTCCAGGCCAACATTCTGTCTCACAGGGATCTGGCAACAGACAGCCTCCTAATGGTCTCAACACAATCCCTACTGCATCTCCTCCAATCCATTTTCCCCACTGAAGCCAGAGCGATCATTTGAAATGCAACTTGGGTTTTGTCACTCCTCTGCTTGAAAACATTAAATGGCTTCCTACTGTCTTTATTTTTTCTTTAAGATTTTATTTATTTGACAGAGAGAGAGAGAGAGCACACAAGCAGGGGGACCTGCAGAGGGAGAGGGAGAAGCAGGCTCCCCGCTGAGCAGGGAGCCCAAGGCAGGGCTCAATCCCAGGACCCCAAGATCATGACCTGAGCTGAAGGCAGCCATTTAACTGACTGAGCCACCCAGGTGCCCCCCTACTGCCTTTAGAATAAGGTTCAAAATCCCCAGCCTGGTTCCAAATCCCAGCATGATCTGGTCTCAGGCTCATCTTTGCCTATCTCCCTCATTGGGAGGAGCACTACCTTGCTGACCAACTCTTAGTGATCCTCAGGTCTCAGATTAACTGTCTCATACACAGGGAGCCCCTCTCTTCTTGGACTAGGCTGTGTGCCCTTCCTTCTCCTCTTTTACCTTATTAGCACCTTATATAATCATTCTGCATTTAAGTTTATTTGTTTAATGCCTGTGATCCTCCCTCCCCTCACCCCTCCCCATCCCCCATCCACTCTGAGCTCCATGAATACTGCAACCTTGTCTATTTTGCCTTCTCTTGCAACTCCAGCAAGGAGCACAACACTAGCAGACAACAAGCATTCAGTAGATAACTACTGAAAATACAGGACCATGCTCCTGAGGAAGTCTGGTGTGCCGCAATAATAAGAAAAAGCATAGATAGCCCTCTAAAAATATGTACCACCACTAATATGTACAAGGCACTTTTTAAAGTAATTTTATACAAATGAACTCATTAGTCTTCACAGCATACCCAGGAGGTAGGCACTACTGGATTCTCCATTTCATAGATAAGGCACAGAGAGGTTAAGTGACATAACCAAGGACAGTAAATATCAAAGCCAGCATTTGAATCCAGAGAATTCCATACTATTGATCACTATCGCTAGACCGCTCTTCTTAAAACAAAATCATTTTTTTCCTTTCTCAATCTAGGGAAAAAATTAGTATGTGGAATATTATCAGTGCTTTTTTTAATAGACAAATTCAATGTTAAGGTATCTAACTTTTTTTTTATAGATTTATTTATTTGAGAGAGAGAGAGCAGGAGAGGAGGGGCAGAGGGAGAGGTAGAGAGAGAGAATCTCAAGCAGACCCCATGCCAAGCATGGAGCCCGAAGCGGGGCTTGACCGGAGCTGGACGCTCAACCAACTGTGCCACCCAAGTGCCCTGGTACCTAATGATTTAAATGTTCACAATGTTGTTAAATTCCATCTGGTATAACCAACTCAAAAGAAACGGGCATACTAATCCCAAAGTACTCCCACCCCAACCATTTGTACTTGGTCTGCAAACATCTTTTAGGTTAAAAATTACCACTTATCCTTTGCTTAAATAATTCCTTGTTCTTGGACAGCTTGGCGGTGGGGGTGGAGGGCACGGATGCTAAGAATAAGGGTGAAATGAAGCCATTAAGATTACCAGAGCCTCCTGGTCTACCTTGCAGAGCAAAGACAGAGTAATAAAACAATGCACCTACACTGCCTGTTTTATGACTCTGGATTTTTCAAGTAGATATTCAGAGATTCTTGCCCCCATCACAGCTCCAGTTGGCGTAAACATCATTTCCAGATATTTTCCAAAACGGCTGGAATTGTCATTGATGGCAGTGCATGCATTTCCAAAGGCTTCCACCAGGGAGTTGACTTGCAGAATTTTCTCTCTCAAGGTCTGATTATTGGCCTGTGCCAAACAGACAACAGTCAAGAGGAGCTTCCAGAAATATTACCTTAGCAAAATTGCCAGGCACCCCTCCTTACCCCCCAAAATTCATACCCCCTGGCACAGTTCTTCCTTTTGGGAAGAATTTCACTTGGGGAAATTAGCATCAACCACCAGCACTGTTTTCTCAGACAAGCAACTCCCCAGGTGCTCAGGCGTCACATGATGCTAGATTAGGTTATCAATTTTTACATCCAGCCACACTTCACTTAAAATCCTTGACAGATAAAATGCCTAAATAGTTTGTAAAAGTTTTATATAGAGAGATCCCATAACTTTTCTCAGTCATCCATTATAATGTTCATTAAACCTTATCTGTAGAAAATACTCCTTAAATTCTATCTTAGTCTCATAATACACTAATTCTGAGTCTAAGTAACTGCTAGACCATTTTTTAAGTCATTCCTTCAATGTCCATTTCCCCAAGCTAAAAATTTCCATTTCCTTCAACTTTTGCTCAAAGATTTCTATTTTCCAATCCTTTAATTGCCTTAGTGGTTTTCCCCGATCCTGTTCCTAGAGTTTAACCACTTTTACTACTTAATGGTTAAATGTTTCTATTACATTGAAAACATAAAAAATTGCTGATAATCTAGTAAATTCATGCTGGCATTATTTTCCTCACTACGTGAAAGAGGGATGGCCTGCTGACAACTTAAGAGACCTCGTTATCAGGAAGTAAACATAATAAAGATGGAAGGTTTTTATGTAACCACTAACGAAAACCAGTATTTCCATCATTTATAAAATATGCAGTTACACTGGCAAGGATTCTAGCCACAACACATAAAACAGGTAATCAATACCTTTCCCAAGAAAGTCAAATGCTGAACAATCAGGTGGGCACTTTCCGTCTTCCCAGAGCCACTTTCTCCACCGATGACGATGCACTGACACAGAAAATGGAGTGAGAGGGAAGAATTCATAGCACAGTAACAACTTGTATGTTCAGGGATGGTTTTCCTATAATATCCACCACTGTACACCTTCATTTTTTCACTGAATGATTTATCTTAGGAATCTTTCCATTTCCGTACACTGAGAGCTTCTTCAACCTTTTCACAGCTCCTTGGTCCATTGTACAGATGTACCATAGTCGATTTAACCAGTCTCATATTGATGGATACATAAGGAGTATACTGCAGTGAATAACCCTATACATAGGGCATTATATTTACATGCAGGTTCTTCTATAGAATAAATTCCTAGAAATGGGTTGTTGAACTAAAAGATAAATATATTTGTAAGTTGGATAGAGAGTACCAAATTGCTTTCCTAAGGACTGGACCAATTCATGAAAGTGCCTGTTCTCCTACAGCCTCACTAATAGGGTATGTTGGATTTTTGCCAATTGGAAACGTAAAAGAATGGTCTCTCAGTGTAGTTTTAATTTGCATTTCTTTTATTATGAGTGAGGTTGAGATCTTTTCATTTGTTTAAAATTACTCATATTTTTTTTGTGACCACCCCATATCCTTTGCCTGTTTTTTTTTTTTTATTATTATTACTGGTCTTATTATCATTGATTCCTAGGAGCTCTTTATGTATCAAGAAGATTAGTAGGTGTGGTATAATAAAAAACATGTATTTGGTCTTTGTCTCTGGTTCCTGGCACAGAGCCCCTAAGACCCTTGGAACTTCCTGAATCATAAGGGCAACAGGACCATCTTTTGTTATTCACAAAAAAAGTCCCTTTCAACCCAACCTAACTGCTAACCAGGTGGTTCAAAGTAGGGCCCAAGATAGCTTCCCAAAAGGTGCTGGTCACCAGAAAGACCAAATACATGATGAAAGAGTGGAAACTTTCAGCTCCATCATCCCAACTTCTAGGGAGGAGAGAAGGACTAGAGATTGACTGAGTCATAAAAACTCTTAAACAGCAAGATTCAGAGAGCTTCTGGTATGAACATTTTGATATGCTTGGAGGGGACATACCCAGAGAAGGCATGGAAGCTTTGCACCACTCCTCTCCCCTATATCTTGCCTTGGGTAATCTTTTCCATTTGGCTGTTCCTGAGTTGTATCTTTTATACTAACCCAGTAAATTTGAGTGTTTTCCTGAGTTCTGTGAGTTGTTCCAGTGATTGTCAGACTTGAGGGTGGTTGTAGGCTGGGCAGAAGTGCAGGCTGCCTGGGCATCCCTTTTGTGCCTGGCATATGAGATGGGGGCAGTCTTTGGGGCTGAGCCCTGACCATGTGGGGTCTGTACTAACTCTGAGAAGTGAGTGTCAGAATTGAATGGAATTGAACCGTTGGTCATCCAATTGCTGTTGGAGAATCAAAGAATTGGTTGGTGTTGGAAAAGACAAACTTCAGTGTCAGAAAAAACACAGTGGGGCAACTTCTCAACTTGAGAAATAAATGTATCTCTCTCCATTGACTTCCTCTCTATGAAATCTATGGACATTTCACAAGTCTGTGGGAAAGGTAAGAATTTAGAGAAGCCAGGTTTCTAACCTATAGTGAATCCATGTACTCCATTTTGTAACTTGCACTGTTATAGTTTCATCTACTCCTTAACCAACCCATAGCTGGGACTTCACAAGTCTCAGGAAATTTATACACAGTAACTCTCTCACAAAACTTTCTTACCAGTTTTATTACTTATATTTCAAACAGACTAAAGACACAAAGGAAAATATACATATTGAAAGTAAAAGAAGGCTTAAGGTTGGATATATCACCACCTTGAGTTGAAGATCCAAAAAGGGAAGCTGTATGGGTGAACTTTGTGTTTAACTAGCATTGAGTTTAAAATCCGTTCAGCCTTTACCAAATCCACCACAATTTCTCAGCAGCTAAATGGTGTGGGGCTTGATCACTGTCAACCTGTGTGCAATATTTCATACAAAAAATACCGAACCATGAAAATTCTGAGACCTTAATAAGAAGGAATTTCATTTATGTCATTCTACATTCTGTTTTTATTACAGTTGTAGTCATGTAATCAGGTTGGTGTTGGCTCTGTGTTCTCACATTCATATTAGAAACACTCTTAATACATTTTATCAGGGAAAATGAGTACTCTTTTTTTTTTTTAAAAAAAGATTTTATTTATTTGAGAGAGAGCGAGCACATGAGAGGGGGGAGCGTCAGAGGGAGAAGCAGACTATCTGCCGAGCAGGGAGCCCGATGCAGGACTCGATCCAGGGACTCCAGGATCATGACCTGAATCAAAGGCAGTCACTTAACCAACTGAGCCACCCAAGCGCCCGAAAATGAGTACTCTTGATGTGAATGCTTCACGTTACCCAAAAGAATTTTCACGTTTTCTGGCTGCTCTAACTTTAACACTGTTCCTGTTCCACTGAGCTACTCTTTCATTTTCTATTTCCTTGAATCAGCACCAGCAACCAGAATGGAGCTTTCAGGAAGACGTAAGAACTGCAGAGGAAGACCGTACACATCCTACTGTGTGACTTGGCAGGGAAGGAAGGAGAGGTCTTACCTGGTCTTTGCTGAAAGTAACCATACATTGGTAAGCAGCATCTGCTGAGGCAAATATGTGGGGAGGATTTGAGGCACGTTTCACCCCATGATAAAGTCTGGAAAACTGAAGAAAAAAAAATAATTAATTTAAAGAAAACTTCTAATGCTCCGGTACCTGTTGCCCGTGAAACCAAGGCTCTGTCACTTGTTAGGGGAGTTGTAGCTTCAGGAAGGCTATAGAGCCAGGCTCTGGAGCCTGCAGGCCTAAGTTCAAATCCCAGTCCTTCACTTACCAGTTTCATGAGCTTTTGCAAGGGAGTTAACTTCGCCATGCTAAGTCTCCTCATCTGCCAAACAGCCTTAGTAACTGTGCCTGCTTCACAAGATTATGAGGGGTGAGTGAGGTAAGTCCGTGCCTGGCATGTAGCAAGCACTAAATGAATGTTAGCTATTACTGTTATGTCTTGCTCTAAAAAGTTGCCCCCGAAAGAGAAGAATTCCATCTGTGTTGTATTGTTATCTGCAGGTCAGGGTATACACTGCTAAAGCAGCAGAGTTTATTCTCATTTTCCCCTTCTTTTCATTTTCCCTTGTGGTTTTTAATTTCTATTAAGGAGGAACATGCTCTAACAGCACCCCTTACCTGTGGAGAGTATATGCTTAGATTCTGGAAGGGGTTTAAGGCAAGTAAGATGTCTCCAACATATGTGTAGATCAGCAAGTCCACATAACGCTTTTGCAACTGACGAATAATTGTATCCTAAGAAGAGGATAGATAGTACTGAGAGTAAACATTATTTCCAACCAAGAAAGAATTCTAAAAATAACAACAAATTTAGTCTCATAAGAATGTTTTTTTTCTAAAAGAGGAAAGTAGTCAATTTAAATCATAAAGTGACCCTAAGGATCCTCAATGCAGATATTTGCCTTGGAAGAAGAAAAAAATAGGAATATGCTGAAAGAATAAGGTCCACTTAGGACTTGCTAAAGGCCACTGAGATAGCCAACAAAGGTTTTATTTGTTATTATGAAAAACTTGTCTTATCCAATCAAAATGCTCTCCTTAGAATTTTATTTATTAGGCCATTCCTATTGATAAAGTATAGAAAAAACAGTAACTTCATTTCTCAAAGCATTGTACTTAAAATTTATGTGTGGGAATATGGAATTGAACACTTCCATATTACACTTTAGTGATTCATCCATTGTAGTTAAAGCTCTCTAGAGTTAGAATCAGCAAAAGCAGTTCCAGTGCAATTAACAGCTCTATTAAACATGCATACTTTATTTTTATTTTTTTAAAGATTTTATTTATTTATTTGAGACAGAGAGAATGAGAGACAAGAGAGCACGAGAGGGAAGAGGGCAGAGGGAGAAGCAGACCCCCTGCTGAGCAGGGAGCCCGATGTGGGACTCGATCCCGGGACTCCAGGATCATGACCTGAGCCGAAGGCAGTCGCCTAACCAACTGAGCCACCCAGGCACCCTTAAACATGCATACTTTAAATGGGGATTATCACAGCTTTCAAATTTAGAATTCAAGCTATATTATCCTTCACTATTTCCCTAAATAAAGCTACTCTTTATGAAGAACAAACAACTATCTTAAGAGTGAAACTGCACTTTCTCTAAAACAGAAAATAATTTCTGGTGATGTAATAAATCATTTAGGCTCACAATATAAAGGGCTTTATTGGAAAAAACCCAAATCCTTTCCTCTTCATCATTTAGGACATTTGGGGAACTATAAATGAACACAACACAGGATCATAGTCACAGCAACCAAATGCTCCCTGAGCTTCACCCCAAGGCTATACAAACAATTAAATTTTCAAGTGACCTTAGGAGAACATGGTCTACAAGAAAAAGGTCAGACCATTCACATGAAACAAATGTCATCAGTGAGAATTGCCTACTAAATATTTAGTACCTCATCCAGAACCTCTAAATTGACCAAATCATCCTCAAGGCAGTATTTTTCAGCATCCTCCACGTGATAGGGTCTTCTGGTATGCATTCTTTCATGCCTAGAAATTTATCCAGACAACATTAGCATTAATACAGTAAAAAGTGTAGCAGAATGTAGACCACGAAAATGTTTCATTCACAATCTTCCCACATGACATGTTCAAAGACTTCAGAGATGGGGACAGGATATGCAGTCCAGGTCCCCAAGCTGCAGGGCCCTCTCCCTGTTGCTATAGAGCTATCTGGGGTAAGGTGAGCTCCAGATCCCAAGGTTCTCTTCTACCACAGTGAGGAACATTGCCAAATGGGCCCATCTAATACTTATATCTGCTCTTCTCAAATGCCAACCACAGCCTTTCTCGAAATAAATATCTCATGTTTTTTCTGCTCATTGTCAGGTATATAGTTCTCACCCAGATACTGCCCTTGAGGTCTCCTCGTGCTTACCCACCAGCATCAACCCCAACTTTTCAAAAAATATTTAAAACTGAGAGCAAATATCAATGAATCAAAAATGTTTACGTTTTACCTTATTTATCTGAAATCCTTTGTTACCCATGTTTCATCCCACTCCCCTTTCCTGAATGACTACTATTTGGTGGGTATCCTTCCAGTCTATTTTTAAATATTGGTCATACATGTGAGCAATATACATATTCTATGTGTTAACTATAAAAATGATATGCTGTTTCATTCTGCAAAATTGGTTTTTTCCACTCAACATTACGATTTTTTAAACTATATACATGTACATACACATACATATATATATTTTGGTCACTTTATTTATTTATTTTTAAATTATTTATTTATTTATTTGACGGAGAGAGAGACAGCAAGAGAGGGAATACAAGCAGGGGGAGTGGGAGGAGAAGCAGGCTCCCCACTGAGCAAGGAGCCTGATGCAGGACTCGATCCCAGGGCCCTGGGATCATGACCTGAGCCAAAGGCAGATGCTTAATGGCTGAGCCACCCAGACGCCCTTATTTCGGTCACTTTAATCACTGGGTAATATTATATGAATATATGAATATATACCAATTTATTTACTCAGTCCTTTGATCTCCAACACTTAGATTGATTCCAATTTTTGCTATAGAAACAAAGCAGCACTGAGTATCTTTATATGTATCCTCTTGTCTAAATATGTGAGATTTTTCTCTTGCGGGGCATTACTCCACAGGCATTTAAAAAACGTGGCTGGCAAAAATAAAAAACAAAAACAAAAAACTTGGTTGGCAAACAATACTAATCTCCTTTGGCATACCAAAATATAGTTCTTTAAGGTAAAAAATTAGTTCAAGTCAAAGTAGGCCTTCCCATAATTCCTTCATAAAGGTATCACTACTCAATGTGGTGTAGGGGGAAAGCAGCAGCTTAGAAGTTAAAAGCTCTGGGTCCTTGTTTCAGGGTTCTGGGGAATGTGTTGTGGGCCACTGAGCAATTCCCTTAGCAGCCTGCATCTCAGTTTTCTTCATCTATAAACAGAACCTCTCATGACTGTCTATCTCACAGGGGGCTGTGAAAGCAATACAGTCATGGATATAAAAATGTGAAAGAGTTGAAAACATGCACCAAGTATTGTCAAAATTTGGAACCAACAATTTGCACAACTCTACATATTACTCGGAATACCAATAACTAAGCAAAATCACGTGTAAGATCTCTTCCAGGTACTGTCAGTTCAGAAGCATCACTGCATGGTCCTTCACTGTCACTTATCATGCTCACCATCATCACAGCTTCACAGGATACAGTTTTATTTTGCCAGGTCCCAGAAGCTAGCTTTACCGAACATTTTGCTGTATGTAGCAGACAGGCGTCAGCATCCTGTTGTACACTCTGTCCCTTGCTACATGCATTTCACAGAAGTAGGCAAAAAGGAAGAACCAAATTCAACAGCTCTACATATTGAATCTTGACTTTATAATATGATGGAAATGGGCAAAGAAAACATTGACTTTTTTTCTCTTCCTGCCTATTAAATTTTACTTCCCAATTCCCATCACTGATAGATTTGAAGAAGGGGTATCTGAAGTGTGGTATTAGTCATTTCCAGTGCTAGAGCCAGTTTTGCTGCCAATCCAGACAGAGATCCAAAATAGATAAAGCTTAATTTTACTTAATAAAATCAAATTTATAACCTAGGCATTTTAGAAGTTATTAAACACAAGGGTTTATTCATCTGTGTCCTAACATATTAGTGATGTCAAACAGAAATCAGACTGAATTGAAATACAAATTTTTACTAAAACTCGGAGCTGCTGCCTGCTTCTAGCTAGCCCTTTGCTAAACAAAACAGCAGGAGGATGCATATTTCTGGCCAAATCCTCTTCACATAAAACCTAAGCATTTTTTTCCCTTGAAGCTCATCAGGAAATGAAATATACATTTTTAAGAAAATGATTAAATCTTCATCGTATTAAATATGGTTAATTTATCTCCTTTTTAAATTCCGACCTTGCTATTGTATGAAATAGGCTAAATTGGAGTTTATTCTATACATCTTCAACAAAGAAAATGAGGAATTAAAAAATCATCGACAGATCTGGTTCCAGTCAAGATGGAGTAAGCACTCTCCAATCTGCCTCCCTCCTGAATGCAACTAAATACCTTAGACAGAATGCACGGGACTTCGAGAAGTAAACAATAAAGGAAGACCGGGGAAATCAGAATTTGAAATACCACGAATCAATGGCAAGTTTCCCATGGATTATTTTTTTCCTTCAGTAACTCCTGACCCGAACGTAAAGGCAGCCTGACCTGCATACAGGGATGTCAGGCTTCATGCTGTATGACATTTTTACAGCCAACCAAAAATGGAAATACTGACAAAACCTCACTTGCAATATCACAAATAAATAAACTCTAGGGAAAGTTGTGATGTTCAAGGTGAACATGTACAACGCAATATACCACCAGGATCCAAACTGTCATCTTCTGAACCCTGCAGAAGGTTGTCTATATACCAATACAGATCTAATCTCCAGGAATAATGCAGATGCTGTCTGCAAATCTGAGCTTGATTCTCACAAAAAACTTCCCCTTATATTATAAACACCTTTTAAAAGATTTTACCTGCTGTGTGATTAGCCATGTATCACCTCTTCCCATGCTTGTTGGCAATCAAATTCCTTAGACTTATTTGCTTCCAAAATTGAAGCTGGCAATCTAGAAGTTGATGTTGTTGACGCAAGGTATTTCCACTCTATCAAGACCACTTCATTTCCTCAACCAGTGAAAAAAAAATATCTCTTAGCCCCATCTCTGCCTTCCCCAACTAGTGTTCTAAAATTGCCACCTGCTTCATTTTCCTTTGGCTATGGGGTTTGTAGAGTCTACTGAAGACAAAAAAAAAAAAATTACTTATTCCAGCTCTTATCTGTTTTTAAAAAAATTATCCTAGACTTTACATATACTCATAAAAAGTATTACATTGTTTTATATTTGTCTATTTTTAGTTGAAATTAATAAAAATAATTTGTTTTAAATTTTTTAGTTTTCTTTCATTAAATGATTTGTTGTCACTGGCAATTACCAACTTAAATTTCCTTTAAATTCACATGCTCCACCTAGTGCCTTACTTGAGAAAAGCATCTACTATCAGTTTTTGCTGAAAAATTCCTTTCCAACTACAAGGTACTTGGATTGAAAGTTTCAAAGCTCAGAGGAATGGATAGATAGATAGTGGATGGAAGAATAGTAAAAGGCATTCTATTAAATCAAGAGGATAAGTTTTAATGACTCAAAAGTCATTTTCAAATCCCAGTAAAGTCTATACTGCTTTTTGCTAGATTCTTACTTGTTTTTATGAGGCTCTACGTATGCTGGCTGCCAAGCCTAGCTTCCTAAACAAATGGAGTTTGTGGGGTTAAAGCTTAGAAAGGAAGAAACTCAAAGCTCTGGCTTGGGCTGGTTCCTGGAGTTTGGGTTCATGGGGGGCGGTGGATAGTGAGTAGGACTGACCTTAGGTTTCAGGGATCAGGAAAAGGACGAATTGTTGTCAGAATTCCTGGCTCAGGTAAGCTGGGAACAAGGGCAAGTCTGAAACATCAAGTCCAAAGAAATGGGTGGAGAGTAAGAACTAGATCTGAAGAGTGGCTGAGACAGTCAGGGGTTAAGAGTTCCTGTAAGACAAGGGTAGGCACAGATGAGGCAGAAGATGGGAGAGACGTTGGAATGTCTTAGTCCCAGCCCATGAGTGAGAAACAAGCTGTAGAGAGTACCAAACTGGCTCAGACACTGGGGGGATTGTTTTCTTGGAATAAATATCTGAAGTACTGCTGTCATCCCTATAGTTTCATCTCTATGTCTGCATTACAGTTAAAATCATTTGTGTATGCATGCTCTTTAATACCTCATCAATGGGCTACAGACTTCTTTGTTCAAGCTCCTGGGCCTATGAAAGACTTTGACAAATATTATATATTTTGTCTGAAAGTAATTCCTTAATCCCTTAGCCTCTTCCTATCTGTCAAATCTGCCTGTGGAAGCAGTGACTTCCATGTAGATAGGTCAAAACAGGGCTTCACATAGGTGTGGCAGGATGCATTCTTCTCTTCACTCCCAACTATGATGAAGAACAAAGCAAAAGGAGGCCCTCTAAAACATAACTCAGGATGGGAAGGAAATAAAAATGTTTTAGCCTAATAATTACAGGAGATGTGCTAGTGAGAGAGGTTAAATGCTACACTGAGAAATCCCTGATGATATTTTGGGGACAGTCATGCTGCGACAGGACCATTGTGAAGGATACCTCCACCTTAGCTCCTCCACACTCAGGCTCACAGCCCTCCCCTCCATTCAAGAGTGGAACTGGAAGGAGTGGAGAATGACTAACTCTCCCACCAGATTCCAGATACAAAAGGAAGTAAAATCTGTTGAAGGTGAAGAAAAAAGGGGGAGAGAAGAGAAGGAGTAAGAAAAAAGGTCCAGGCTCAAAGGTGGTGGTCCTCAAGACTCTAAAAACAAAGGCTTCTGTGGCCATGGACAGAGCTCAGGGACAAATTGACAAGTTGGATAGATCAGAGGAACCTGAGAGATCAGAGGAACTCCCTTA